CTAGGAATTCAGAAATTCTGTGTTACATGTGTAAATGCTTAGCAGTAGGGGCCAGAGGGAAAGTATTTAAGGTCACCTGACCCGAGGGGTTCATGAAGTAGGTGCTTCATGGGTGCGGCCCTGCCTTCACTCTCAGGAGACATAGGCTCAGGCAACAAAAAGTGAGAACGTTAACCATAAAAGCCATTGGGAATATCTTGAATTTTGTAGGTTTGGAACATATAATCATGGGTGCACTCTGTGACGTTATTCAAAAGGATTAAAAAAAGGATTAGTAGAAAGGCCAGAACAATATCTCTAGGGATAGAGCATTCGTCTTGCATATAGCCAACGCGGGTTTGCTCCCTGGCACCACAACTGGTCCCCGGAGCACCACAAGGTGTGGGCGGCATTGCAAAAAACACAGATCACAGATCACAGATCATCCTGTTATTCGTCGATTGCCTCGAGCAGGCCCCAGTAACGTCTCCTTCGTCCTAGCCTGAGATTGTATTCAAGGCTCTTTAGAAGAATGAGACCCATCTTTGTTACTGGTATTTGGCATATTTGGTAGGCCACGGGGCGTTTGCCAGACTCTGCAGTGTGGGCAGGCTACATTCAGTAGCCTGCCAGTTTGTCAAAGAAGGAATGAGATGTCATAATAAGATGTCGCGCGGCTGCGAATGCAGAGTAGTAGTAATACAGAATACAGAGTAGTAGTAATCCGCTGTTAGGGAGGAATTAGGATCCAAGGTTGTAGGTTCAGGACAAGGAGGTGTGTTGGCTCCCAGCGGATTCATCTTGATGGTGGGTCTCAGCAAGTGGCAGTTAGACTGCCCGGTAGGCATCAGCCGACTTTGTTCTTCCACCCGAATGGCCAGATCACAGGCACCTGCAGTTTGTCAGGGCAGCACCTCTGCAGTGTTGGCAAACAGGGTGAGTCGTGTGAATGGTGAGACATCGTCCCCAAGGACTTTCTGGGAAGTGAGTCCCTTTGGCAAGTTCTAGAAAAGGGAGCGGGCGCCTGCTGCCCAGTGAAAACATTATAGAAGTCAGTTATTTTGGGATGACTTACACCTTGACCAACCCCTTGTGTTTCTGCTCCTCAGGACTGGGGCCTGTGTATCACCTGCTGTAACAATAAAAAGACCACAAAATGGAGAAGCTCGGCCTCGGCCAAGAGGAGGAGAGCAACAACCAGCAGGCCGTGGCCGCGCAGAGCGCAGGAGACTCACGCCGCGAGAGCATCCAACGCTGCATCCAGTTCCTAGCGCACGCCGGCCAGTGCCGCAACGCCAGCTGCTCCCTGCCGTCCTGCCAGAAGATGAAGCAGATAGTGCAACACACCAAGGGTTGCAAGCGGAAAACCAACAGCAGGTGCCCCGTCTGCAAGCAGCTCATCGCCCTTGGCTGCTACCATGCCAAGCACTGCCAAGAGAATGTGTGCTCAGTGCCCTTCTGCTTAAACATCAAGCAAAAGCTCCGGCGGCAGCAGCTGCAGCACCGGCTCCAGCAGGCCCAGATGATCCGCAGGAGGATGGCCAGCATGCAGCGGACTGGGACGGTGGGGCAGCAGCAGGGCCTGCCTTCCCCGACTCCTGCCACTCCAACCACGCCAGCGGGTCAGCAGCCAAGCGGCCCACAGACACCCCAGCCCCAGCCCCAGCCCCCCTCGCAGCCTCAACCCACCCCTCCCAGCAGCATGCCACCCTTCATGCCCAGGACTCAGGCGGCTGGCCCTGCATCCCAGGATAAGGCAGCAGGCCAGGTGACCCCCCCAACCGACCCTGAGACTGCGCAACCACCTTTTCCTGGGCCCCCACCAGCAGCGGTCGAAATGGCCGTGCAGCCCAGTGGGCAACTGGAGGCAGAGGCGGGGCCCACAGGCATGCAGCAGCAGCCACCGTGGGCCCAAGGAGGAATGCCTCAGGCCCAGCCACTTCAGTCTGGGATGCCAAGGCCAGCCATGGTGTCCGTGGCCCAGCCTGGTCAGCCTTTGAACGTGGCTCCCCAGCCGGGACTGGGCCAGGTGGGCGTGAACCTCGTCAAGCCGGGCGCAGTGTGCCCGCAAGCTGTACAGGAGCTCCTGCGGATTCTGCGCTCTCCCAGCTCTCCCCTGCAGCAGCAGCAGGTGCTTAGTATCCTTCACGCCAACCCCCAGCTGTTGGCTGCATTCATCAAGCAGCGGGCTGCCAGGTATGCCAAATCCAAAGCACAGCCCCCCCCTGGAACGTGACCCTGAACGTGCAGAACGTGAACCCCATGCAGGCCGGCGTCCTGCAGCTGGCCTGGTGCTGCAGAGGCAGAAGTTGCTACTGCGGGCTGAGCCCCTAGGCGCAGCAGATGAACAGGAACCACAGCGCCATGCCTTTGTGGACCCCAGCAGAGACTGCGGCAGGAGGCAGGGAGGCGCTGGTCAGGCTCATTCCCTGTCTAGCAAACTGAAACCCCTCCAGCAGCACCCCACTCCAACCCTTCCCTGAGGATGCAGCCTCAACCTCCTCCTCATGACATGTCCCCACAGACCAGTTTTCCACATCCTGGACTGGTAGCTGCTCGGGCCAAACCCATAGAACGAGCATTTTGCCAGCCCGGACCAGAATTCGATGCTTTCTCAGCTTGCTAACAATCCAGGCCTGACAAACCTCCATGGTGCAAGTGCCACGGGCCTGGGACTCAGCACCGAGAACTCAGACTTGAATCCAAGCCTCTCACAGAGTACACTAGACATACACTAGAGACACGTCATAATATTTGGAGACCAATAAAAGTTATTTCTCTTAACAAGACTATGTACTGAAAATAATTTGTGAAACTTTCTTAGCCTAAGTGACAATTTTCTTGGAGCACATAAGAACGGCAGCAGCCTGTTTCTGGTTAAAGCAAACATGCACGATGGACCTGAGACAGAATACAAAGAATTTCTCTTTGTTTTGGCTGGTTCCTGCCAGCCTTTTTTTTTCTTTATTGTGCGGTTCAAGTGTGCACTGGGAGGAGGCTGAAGTCTCTGACACCAGCCACATGATCCTGCCTTGTACTTCAGTAGGTTTTATTATTTTTTAATTAATGAGTAGATGTAATATTAATAGTTGTACATTTACTGGTGTGGATGGTTGACATTTGTCCCTGTTCACTTTACGGAAGATTAAAAAGAAAGTTTATAAAACCAGAGGACAAAAGGGGTTAATGATACTTTAAAATTACATTATATATATGTGTGTGTGTGTGTGTGTTAAAGTATTTCTTCTGGGTGCAAAGAAGTTCATTTTACAACTAAATAATACAAAAGGGCAAAGAACAGTTCCTTTCTTCCCTTCACATCAACTTTTGTGCTCCAGAAAATTTTCTGTTTTGTAAGTGTTGAGCATGAAAACTTCAAAGTATTAAAATAATTTGTATATGTAGAGAGAATTCTGACTTTCTTAAATACATGGAGGCAGCTGGTAAATTGATGTGTTACATATTGTGGTTCTGTTTCTTGACAGATTTTTCTGTTATTTTTCATCGTAAAAGAGAAAAATAAGTAGAGGGTACGAAATAGTGCCAGTGAAACAATTTTAAGTTCAAAATGTCCTCGGGCTTTCTTCTTTGCATGCTTGCATCTTTCTTACTCTGCCCCCACCCTACAAACATACACACACACAATCTGTGAAACGTGAAAATCGAAAGCAAAACCCCTCAACTAGTGTAAATCATACAACTAAAGTCGAGTACTGTATGAATACGACCGCTATGGAGACTGCTCAGTTTGACGTATTACGTATGCTTCAATAAACTTTAGTAAACCGAGTCAGCTACACGCCTCTTTCTTTTGCATCACTTGTTCAGAAGATGAAACAAAAGGCTCTATCTCACAGCCTCACTGTTTAAATTAATGATTCACAGATACTTTGTGTCTGCAACACATAGGCAGATTTGTGTTGCTGTTGGGAGTGAGCCCATAGAGGAGAGACAAAGGGCCCAGAGGAGGGACAAGTGTGATTTTCAGAAGGAGGGACATCTCTCAAGAACAGCCTCTGAAAGGGAGTGTGGAACATTTGAATGAAACCAGATCCTGTGACTTTTGTAACTTTGTAATCTCGGTGATTCCTTTAAGAAGAAGAAGTCAATGGTGCCCTGTGTGGCAGTGTGGCCTCACCCAGTCTAATAAGGAAGTTTGCTGCACCAGGAGACCCAGAGCCAGGACCTCTGAGCTAGAAGGAACAAGGGCCACTGCACATTCTGAGGCAGCCACAGTTGCTTGGCAGCTCGTTTAACAGGATGTTTCCACTGAATTCCTCATTAACTGCCATTTCAACTTCCATGAACAGTTCCAGTCACTGAGACCCCAACTCCTCTCCTTTCCTTCCCTTGCCCCAAAGAATACCGCTTCCACCCCTTTGCTTGACATGCTATTAAACGGTTTCTTATTTCTTTTCATGTTGTATAGCCGAAGGTGTGGGCGCTGAGATGCGATAAAGAAGATGGGACTTGGGGGCTGGAGCAATAGCACAGCGTGTAGGGCGTTTGCCTTGCATGCGGCCTACCCAGGTTCAATTCCCAGCATCCCATAGAGTCCCCCGAGCACGCCAGGAATGATTCGTGAGTGCAAAGCCAGGAGTAACCCCTGAGCATCGCGGGGTGTGACCCAAAAAGCAAATAAAAAAAGGGACTCTGGTTTCTTCTTGGTCAGCTCCAGGGATTGACTGTATTATTAAATGTTGGGGATTGACCCAACGGCCGCGTGCAAGGAAAGAACCCACACGGCTGTACTCTGACCCCGGCCACCGCTTTTACTGGAAAGTGGGAGTCAGGGGTCAGGGCCCCACCTTAACCAGTGACGAGTAACGGCCGACCCACAGCCTCCAGCCAGCGCCTCGGCCACCGCCGCGCGCGACGACGGAGAGGAGGGCGGGCGCAGCACCAGCTTTCCTCACACGTGATTGGCCCGCGCCTCCAGCAGGCAGCCAATGAGCGCGCCCTGCCGGGGCCGCGGCTCCATCCTTTCTCTCGGCTCCTGAAGTTGGAGGAAACTGTTTCAGCTCGGAAGGGGAGGAACCGGGGCGTGCAGGTGAGAGCGGGAGGGCTCGTCGCGGCGGCGGAGGCAGCCCCCGAGAGTCTCTTCATCCCCCGCGACCCTTCCTAGGGTCATCGGGCGCTGCCTGGGGGCGGCGGGGGGAGGGACAAGGATGGAGAAACTGAGGTAGCGGAACCGAGCCCGGCGGCGGAGGTCGGCGTCGCCGTTCGCTTCTCTGGGGGGGTGCGGGGGGCGGGGGTGAGACCCCGCGAGGCGTTTCGGGGTGACAGGCTCCCGTCGTGCCGGCGAGGGGTCGTGAGGCGTGTCCCGCGCGGGGGGCAGGGCGGGGGGCTGCGGGTGCCCGCGCGAACCCCCCTCCTCCCCTCCCCCCGGGCAGGCGGCTGTCCACGGCCGGGCCGCTGTTTGCACCTCCTGGTTGGCGCCGCCGAGGTTGGGGAGGGGTCGCAGCTGCCAGGCGCTTCCAGAAAGCTCCCCAGGTTCGGGTACCCCTCCCCCCATTCCTCCCCACCAGGTCCATAACCGCCCTACCCCCACCCGCGCAGGCGCTTGGCATCTGGGCACCTGGTCTTTGAATTCGGCCTCCTTTCTGGCACCTGGGCAGGCAGAGACGCAAATAGGAACTGGGGGTCGGGGAGTGAGGACGGGGAGTGAGGACGGCGCCATCCCGCCCCCTGCAGCGCTGTCACTGGCCGCTGCGGGCAGAGCTGGGGGCCCCTGGCCGCTGGCTGGGACCTGGTGTGGGGGGAGTGGGGAGGAGATGAGAGCTGGAAGCTGCTTATGCCAAGTCCGCTCTCCTGTTAATCCATAAATGAATCCCGCTGGAGCCAACCATTGATCTGGTGATGCTCGGGGCATTAAGCCAGGTGGGCAGCAGGCAACGCACAGTGCCCTACCCGCTGTCCTAAGCATTGTTCCTCTCTCCAGCCCAGAGCCGGTGCTTTTACCTGGTAATAATGCTGACATTTACAGAGTACTGACTGTATGTGAGGCACTGGCCCGAGTTCCTTTCTGGGTGCCAGTGGGAGCGGAAGTTTGGGGCCACAACCAGTAGTGCTTATGGCTTGCTCCTGGTTAGGGCTGTGCTCAGGGATCACTTTTGACAGTGCTCGGGGACCTTATGTGTTACCAGGGATTGAATCCGGGTGGGCTGTGTGCAGGCAAGCGCCTTAGTCCTGAATTAACTCTCTGGCTCCACATTTCTGTTTTAGTTTGGGGTCGCCACACCCAGTCGTTCTCCGGGAAAATTCCTGACTCTGTATTCAGGAGTGGAGTGTTCAGGACCCCTTGAAGAGTTTGGGGACCCTGTGTGGTATTAGGGATTGAATCAGGCTTGGCTGCACTGAAGGCAAGCGCCTTTCCTCCCGTTCCAGCCCTCTGCTGCTAGTTCAAGTGAAGGCCCTCCTGAGACATCTGGGTCACAGGATTATATTCTACTTCAATCGTGCTGAAAAACTGTCACTTATTACTCCAACAGAGTTTGGGGAATTCCTAATGCATGTTTTCTTGTCTGGTTTTTCGGCCACACTCAGCTGTGCTCAGGGCTTCCTCCTGGCTCTGCAGTGAGGGATCACGCTGGTTGCCTCTGGCCTTCATGTGTGTGCCAGGGATCAACGCACATGCCTAGACCCGTTGTACTGTCTTTTTGGCCCCAGGTGCATATTTTCTTTCTTCTCTTGTACATTTTTTAAAATATATTTTTTGAGTTTTATTTTCATAAAGTTGTTCACAATAATTGTTTACATGCAGTCTTTCAACACCAATCCCACCACCATTCGAAGTTTCCCACCACCAATGCAGATGATAAATAATTTACTATAAAATAAAATATGTTATGAATAGTATGAGATGCCGCGCATTTGCAAAAGCAGCTGTGCGCTCCTGGAATTCTAATATTTTTGAATACTTGTGGTCAGAGGTAGCTTTGCTGCATGCTGTTCTCTTCTGAGATTCATTGGTGAGTCTCTGAATCTGGCTGTTAATGCACTTAGATGGAGCCCAGAGGCAGTTCCTGATCTTGGCTGCCAGGAAATGGGAAGGAGAGGGAAGTGGGGAGGGATCATCTCAACTCCATGAAGCCTGGAGTTTTCAGTCACTCGTCCTTCATACCTGGGTTTCTGGGCACTTTCATTTTCGTTGTGTGGGACTCGGGACAATCTTGTGAGTGTTAGCTGTGAGCATGGCGGCAATTGGGTTTTGGAGAATTGTGGCTGAGTTCATCTGGGCAGGCAGGGGGACACTCCTGCCCTCCTCCAAGGTGCCCCGTTGAAACCAGCCTGCGCAGAGTGGGGAGACCTCTTGCCGTGTGCTGCTCTCTTCCGAGATTCATTCATGGGTTTCTGAGTCATGGTCCTTTATGCCCTTAAATGGTGTGCTAGGCAGTTCATGGTTGTGGCTGCCAGGAAACCTGAAGGGTGTGGAGATGGGGTGGGAAGAGCTCCTTCCTAGACATCTGAAGCCTGGAGTTTTCAGTCACTAGTGCCTCATACATGCAGTTTTCAATGGATTCATTTTTGTGGATTGGGACGAGCCTGTGACGGTTGGTTGTGAGCCTGGCGGCGATTAGATTCTGAAGGTTTGTGTCTGCTGGGGTTCATTTGGGACAGGCCGAGGGACACTCCTGTCTCCCTCCGAGGTGCCCTGGTGAAATCAGCATGGCACCAGGTAGGGAGACATCTCTGAGGCATGCTGCTCTCTTCTGAGATTCATTTGTGAGACTCTGAATCGTGGCCTTTAATGCTGTAAGTGGCCTGATTGTGATCTCTTTCGAGATTTATTTATGAGTCTCTGAAGCAAGATTGATAAATGAAGTTTTATAAATGAACTGGAGGTGGTTTGTGGGCATGTCTCCCACATACATAAATTTTGACCGTTTAATTTGTCAGGAGGTTGGTCCCAAGTTGTTGGGTTCTGGCGAGGTTTCTGCAGCAGCTGTTGTGCCCAAGTTTCAGATCCCAGTTGCCGAGGGAACCAGTCCGCACACGATAATGCAGGAGCAAAGGGACCTTATTCTTAGCCCAAGCCAGCGCTAGCTCGAGCCAGGGCCCAAGTCTCATCCAACACAGTGGAGTCTTGACAAGGACCCCGACTCCAAATCACAAGCAGCTTATATAGGGTTCAGCGTTAAGAGACAATTTATACTGATCTATGTTTAGCATTGGCCCTATTACAATGGTGGTCAGCAATTAGGCAATGGTTGGCAAGTTTCTTTTTTGTTTGTTTGTTTTGGGGTCACACCCAGCAATGCTCAGGGGTTACTCCTGGCGTTGCACTCGGGAATTACTCCTGGCAGTGCTCAGGGCAGTGCATAGGGGATCTAACCTGGGTAGGCCGCGTGCAAGGCAAAAGCCCTACCCTCTGCGTTATCACTCCGGCCCCAAGGTTGGAAGTTTCTAAGGAGGGTACGGTGACCCCCCATGACTGATCATGCTCATGACTTCCCAGCTTCTTATCCAAGGGTGTGGTGACCCCTCATGACTGATCATGCCCATGACTGCCCAGTTTCTTTCTTATCTAGGTAAACTACTCAATTGGGAGTTTACCAGAAACTGCATTTCCTCTTTCGGGGAAACAGAAACTGAGGCCTAGTTAAAACTTAATGCTACCTCTAGGCCATCGTGGCTGCTAAGGAGGAGCCTGCTTTTGGGCCCCACACGGCTATTTGGGGGTATCAGAAATCCTGAAGCCACCATCAGGCTGCTGATGCACTCGCCCTGCAGGTACAGGTTGACGTGCTGGCAGCACCAAACCCCCAAGGGGTATGCTTTCTACCTTGTTCAGTTACCCTTGAGTATGTCCCAGTATTAATCCTTGTGTCTGCCAAAGGAGGGTTTCATTCTGCTTGTCACTCTTTTCGTCCCAAAGCACTGACCCCGAGAAGGAAAGACTGTGGAAAGGCCCATTTCCCTGCCCAGGGCCAAAGTCAGCCCTGATTGCTTCTGCCTGTTTGTGTCACCACCTACCCCCAGACTCACACCCTCCTCAGAACCAATGTAAGCGGAAGAGGGTGAAGATGACTTGGAGTTCTTGGGCAGCTACAACAGTTTCTGTAACTACAGCAGTAGCACAGGCAGTGAGAGCATCTCTAACCTGAGTCAGTGAACCAGAAACTGAGGATTGAGAGGCAGGGGAGCTGCCCACCTTCCCTCCACATCTGCTCAGCCCTGGGACGCCCCACTCCTTGGTCGGCAATGGTTCAGAGCCAGATGCTTTTGGGGTGTCCCCTGGAGACAAGGAGAGCTCAGGGGGCTGTGGAGGAAAGCAGGGAATGGACCTTGTGGCCAGAGCCCTGCAGGGGTGAAGGACAGTTGCATGTGGTGGAAGCATTCATACAGCCTACAGGGATCAGTTCCCCAGTGGCAGGACTTTCTAATTTGTTTGTTTGGGGCCCACATCCAGTAGTGCTCTGGGTTTAGTCTTCTCTATGCTCGGGTCACTCCTGGCAAGCTCAGAGGACCATATTCTGGGCCAGAGATTGAACCCAGGTTGGCAGCAGAGAAGGCAACCACCCCACCCTCTGTATTGTCTCTCCAGTCCTTGGATTTTCATTTCATTCACTTTGACTTGGTGAGTGCGTCAATTTAATGGCAGTCGTTGGCAGGCTTCTGCTTTGCCCTATTGTGAATAGCTGAGAACTAGGATAAGCTGGTCAACTCCTGTGTTGGGTTCTGTCCGGGAAAGGGATGGGAAGTGGAGTGGCATTGGTAGTGATGAGGAGGGAAAAGCAGAATAAAGGGACCTCTGGACCAGCGGATTAGAGGTTCCGTTGGAGAGACTGGAGAGATACTCCAGCAGGTAGGGCACTTGCCTTGCACGGGTCTGATCCGGGTTCAATCCCAGACATCTCATATGGTCCCTCAGTACCGACAGGCAGGGTCCCTCAGCACAGAGCCAGGAGTAAGCCCTGAGGACTGCTGGGTGTGGTCCTCACCCACCAAAAAAATAATAATAATAATAATCACCCAGGAAGGTCAGGAGATGGCTCTGAGACCCAGATTTCATTCTAAGCACCACGTGGTCCATTGAGCACCAATTTAAGAGTAGGCATCAACACCCTTAGAGAGTCACCCCCCCAATGACGATTCCCGTGTGGGAGCAGTGGTTTCAGGCATTCAGAGACGGGATACCTGGGCAGCTGCTGGAGCCCTGTGTCAGCCTCACTGGTCCCCACTTGGTGGCCTCCTGTGATGGGACACCCCCATTGGAGAAGTTGGCCCCCGCCCAGGAGAGCAGAGCGCCCCGCTGAATCTGCTGCTGGTGTGGTCGTATTCCTTCTGGGCCACCTGGCTGGGCTCAGGGCTCATTTTGTGCCTCCAGGGAGCAAAGGGGCCGGGTGAGTGCCAGGCAGGTGCCTCAAGCCCTGGACTCTCGGCCCTGCTGAATCGTCCTGCGATTCATCCTCTTCTTCCCTTTCTCGCCTTTTATTTTTCTTCCTCTGTCTGCCAAGTGTTCTCCGAGAATCTCACAACATTACAACGAGCCAGAACCATTAGAGGCCATCAAGGTCATCAGACTGATGTATCGCGAGACCTTATTAGGAGCTTCCCAAACAGTGTTCAGAAACTGTATCTGGTGACGCCTGTACTGATATGGCAGTTCTTTGCAGGCCCAGCTGGCAGCCACCGGGGTTATCCCCAGAGGTGCTCAGGCCCATGGGGTAGCCGGGATTGAACTTGGGCCTTCATATGTAGGACACACACTGCAGCCCTCTGAGCTTCTCCTCAGCCCCTGGCAAGCTTTGTACCAAACTACAGGTAGCATCTTCCCTTTCTAGACCCATTAAACTCTCAAGCTTGGGCCTTTTTTGGGTTTGGATTTGGAGCCAAAGCAGGTTGCTGTCAGGAGCTACTCCCAGCACTGGCTTGGGGGTCACTCCGGGAAGAGTCTGGGGTGTGGCACCAGGAGTCAAGCCTGGGCTTGCAGTGTGCAGAGCGTGCACGCATTCCGTGGGGCCAGCTCTCCAGAATCACTCCTGCTGAACCTTACGGGATGCTTGAGATCAAACTCAGGGCAGTGCATGCAAGGAAAGCATCCTACCTACTATACTATCTCTTTGGTTCCTATTTTATTATCATTGTTTATTTTACAGGCACACCTCATGGTGCTGAGGGCTTACTCCTGGCTTATGATCAGGGAATCCTTCCTGCTGGCTTTGTGGGCTATGTGGGGTGCCAGGGATCTAATCCTGGGAAAGTGTATGACCAGGGCCTTACCTGCTGTACTCTCTCTCCAGCCCCATTTCACTGATAACTAGGTTCATTGTCGGAAAATTGGCTTGTTGACTATCAGTTGTTTCAAGCCACAGTCCTAAGAACTTCATTGACCACTCCACTTTGCCTGTAGCAGAACTAGAAAAATAAAAATATTGGTCTGTAGGAAGCAGCTCAATAGAGAGAACCAGGACAGCAGGTCATGCGCTTGCCTGACGCATGGCCGCCTGGGTTCCTTCCCCGCAGCCTGTATGGCCCCAGAAGCTGCGCTGGGAGTGCGGCCCAAAGACCAGAATGGGGGAAGGAGGAGAGCTCCTGCCTCAAAAGTGCAGTCCAGGACACTGGCTGCTACATCCCTGGGCGGAGCCTCTGTTAAAGCAAACATCCCAGAAGGAATAATGAGCATTGTCTTCCTTCCTCAAAGTGAATTGGAAAATCCCGTTTTTGTAACACATTCTCTGCAAAGTTACAACTTTGAACTGTCACTCTGTTTTAGTTTATTTGGAGTGTAATTGGTGTGCTGGAACCTCCCCCTTGATTTTTTTTTTTTTTTTTTTTTTGCTTTTTAGGTCACACCAGGCAATGCACAGGGGTTACTCCTGGCTCTGCACTCAGGAATTACCCCTGGCGGTGCTCAGGGGACCACATGGGATGCTGGGAATCGAACCCAGGTTGGCTGAGTGTAAGGCAAATGCCCTATCCACTGTATTATTGCTCCAGTCTCCCCCCCTTGATATTTTTAAGATGCAGTTTTTTCTTTTTCTCTCAGTTTCTCTCAGTCCTATTTTCGATAGGACCTTAATCGGAGATGGTTATCTGAGGTTAGGGAATGACAGATTGAGCACTCTCTTAGGGATATTCAAGCATCTGTGTCATGTACCATCACTCTGTTCCCGTTACTTTTTTCTTTGCACCCAAAGGAAATAAATAAACCTTAATAATCCTTTTGACTTCCACCACCCTAGGAATTCAGAAATTCTGTGTTACATGTGTAAATGCTTAGCAGTAGGGGCCAGAGGGAAAGTATTTAAGGTCACCTGACCCGAGGGGTTCATGAAGTAGGTGCTTCATGGGTGCGGCCCTGCCTTCACTCTCAGGAGACATAGGCTCAGGCAACAAAAAGTGAGAACGTTAACCATAAAAGCCGTTGGGAATATCTTGAATTTTGTAGGTTTGGAACATATAATCATGGGTGCACTCTGTGACGTTATTCAAAAGGATTAAAAAAAGGATTAGTAGAAAGGCCAGAACAATATCTCTAGGGATAGAGCATTCGTCTTGCGTATAGCCAATGCGGGTTTGCTCCCGGGCACCACAACTGGTCCCCGGAACACCACAAGGTGTGGGCGGCATTCCAAAAAACAGAGTAGTAGTAATCCGCTGTTAGGGAGGAATTAGGATCTAAGGTTGTAGCTTGAGGACAAGGAGGTGTGTTGGCTCCCAGCGGATTCATCTTGATGGTGGGTCTCAGCAAGTGGCAGTTAGACTGCCCGGTAGGCATCAGCCGACTTTGTTCTTCCACCCGAATGGCCAGATCACAGGCACCTGCAGTTTGTCAGGGCAGCACCTCTGCAGTGTTGGCAAACAGGGTGAGTCGTGTGAATGGTGAGACATCGTCCCCAAGGACTTTCTGGGAAGTGAGTCCCTTTGGCAAGTTCTAGAAAAGGGAGCGGGCGCCTGCTGCCCAGTGAAAACATTATAGAAGTCAGTTATTTTGGGATGACTTACACCTTGACCAACCCCTTGTGTTTCTGCTCCTCAGGACTGGGGCCTGTGTATCACCTGCTGTAACAATAAAAAGACCACAAAATGGAGAAGCTCGGCCTCGGCCAAGAGGAGGAGAGTAACAACCAGCAGGCCATGGCCGCGCAGAGCCCAGGAGACTCACACCGCGAGAGCATCCAACGCTGCATCCAGTCCCTGGTGCACTCCTACCAGTGCCACAACGCCAGCTGCTCCCTGCCGTCCTGCCAGAAGATGAAGCAGATAGTGCAGCACACCAAGGACTGCAAGCGGAATACCAACGGCGGGTGTCCCATCTGCAAGCAGTTCATCGCCCTCTGCTGCTTCCATGCCAAGCACTGCCAGGAGAACGTGTGCCCCGTGACCTTATGCTTATATATCAAGCAAAAGCTCCGGCAGCAGCAGCTGTAGCACCGGCTCCAGCAGGCCCAGATGATCCGAAGGAGGTTGGCCTGCATGCAGCGGACTGGGGCGGTGGGGCAGCAGCAGGGCCTGCCTTCCCCGACTCCTGCTACTCCAACCACGCCAACGGGTCAGCAGCCAAGCACCCCGCAGACACCCCAGCCCCAGCCCCCCTCGCAGCCTTAGCCCTCCCCTCCCAACAGCATGCCGCCCTACATGCCCAGGACTCAGGCGGCTGGCCCTGGGTCCCTGGGGAAGGCAGCAGCCAGGTGACCCCCCCGCCCCAACCAACCCTGAGACTGCTCAACCACCTTTTCCTGGGTCCCACCAGCAGCGGTCGAAATGGCCATGCAGCCCGTGGGCATTTGGAGGCAGGGGTGGGACCCACAGATATGCAGCAGCAGCCACTATGGACCCAAGGAGGATCGCCTCAGACCCAGCCGCTCCAGTCTGGGATGCCAAGACCGGCCATGGTGTCCGTGACCCAGCCTGGTCAGCCTTTGAACGTGGCTCCCCAGCCGGGACTGGGCCAGGTGGGCTTGAGCCCTCCCAAGCCAGGCACAGTGTGTCAGCAAGCCTTACGGGAGCTCCTGCGGATTCTGCGCTCTCCCAGCTCTCCCCTGCAGCAGCAGCAGCAGGTTTTTGTAACACATTCTCTGCAAATCGCTTCACCAACTAAGAACGCCACGCACCACCACCCAGGGAATTGAGAAAGAGCCAGCAATCTGTCAATTCTGTCCGTGTCTGGGCCGGGTGAGGTTTCCCATGTTGAGTCAAATTAAGCCGCAGGCTCCACTCCTGGTGTTGCCCTTTCGTCAATTCCTTTAAGTTTCAGCTTTGCGACCATACTCCCCCCGGAACGCAAAGACTTTGGTTTCCCGGAAGCTGCCTGGCGGGTCATGGGAATAACGCCGCCGCCGCCTCGCCAGTCGGCATCGTTTATGGTCGGAACTATGATGGTATCTGATCGTCTTCGAACCTCCGACTTTCGTTCTTGGCAAATGCTTTCGCTCTGGTCCGTCTTGCACCGGTCCAAGAATTTCACCTCTAGCGGCGCAATACGAATGCCCCCGGCCGTTCCTCTGAATCACGGCCTCAGTTCCGAAAACCAACAAAATAGAACCGCGGTCCTATTCCATTATTCCTAGGTGCAGTATCCAGGCGGCTCAGGCCTGCTTTGAACACTCTAATTTTTTTCAAAGTAAACGCTTCAGGCCCGTGGGACACTCAGCTAAGAGCATCGAGGGGGCGCCGAGAGGCAAGGGGCGGGGACGGGCAGTCCGCCGCTCCCAAGATCCAACAAGGAGCTTTTTAACTGCAGCAACTTTAATATAAGCTGGAATCACCGTGGCTGCTGGCACCAGACTTGCCCTCCAATGGATCCTTGTTAAAGGATTTAAAGTGGACTCATTCCAATTACAGGACCTCGAAAGAGTCCTGTATTGTTATTTTTCATCACTGTGTAATCCCATCAACGGCCAAGAACCGGAGACTATAAAACCCAGCTCCCGGAAGAAACAGTGCAGTCTCTCCTGCCCCCGCGCCTGGCTGTCCTCACCGGGGCCCCTTGCAGGGGGCGGGTTGAGTTTCCCTCCCCACCCTGAGCAGAGCTGTGGCAGCCGAAGACCTCCAGAACCAGCCACAACCATGCTGAGACCACTCTCCACAAGCATGAAGGTACCAGCAGAGGAACAAAGGCATGCGGCCCGCTCAAGCAAATCGATGAACAACGGGAGGGCATTTACCTTTACCTTTCCCTTTCCTCCCCTCACATCAACTTTTGTGCTCCACTAAATTTTCTATTCAATAAGTCTGTCTCCACGTAAAAACCTCCACGTATTAAAATGATTGGTACATGTAGAGTGAAACAAGACTTTTTCTAAATTTATGAGGCAGCTGCCAAATTGATTTATTATATATTGTGATTTTGTTTCTAGAATTTTTTCATTATTTTTTATTCTAAAATGGAAAAAGATAAAAAGAGGGTAAAAAAAAAACAATTCCAGTAAAAGAATTTTAACATGTAAAATGTCTTCCTTACAATGCCCTCATCCAACACACACACACACTTTCTGTAAAATGTGAAAATAGGAAGTAAAAAATCCCTCAACTGTTGTAAATCATGCAATTAAAGTTGATTACTTATAAATATGAATTGGATCACTGTAGAGACTGCTAAATTTCATCTATTACCTATGCTTCAATAACCTTTAATACTTTAAAACAGATACAAATCACAAATCATCCTGTTATTCGTCGATTGCCTCGAGCAGGCCCCAGTAACGTCTCCTTCATCCTAGCCCTGAGATTATATTCAAGGCTCTTTAGGAGAATGAGACCCATCATTGTTACTGGTATTTGGCATATTGGGTACGCCACGGGGAGTTTGCCAGACTCTGCCGTGTGGGCAGGCTACATTCGGTAGCCTGCCAGTTTGTCCAAAGTAGGAATGAGATGCCATAATAAGGAGCTGGTTTTTAAAACAGATACACGCCTCTTTTTTTTCCCTTTCAATCACATGTTAGATTCAGAAGATGAAACAAAAGGCTCTAGCTCACGGCATCCAGCCGTTTGAAAAATTCAATTAATGATTCACAGATAATTCATTTATCCGATTGCCCAGAATCCGAACTGAAGCCCTCCTGGTAGCGGACAGGGGTCAGGGCGCTCCCAAGCACTGAAAATCCAGAAACTAATATGGTTTGCTGTAGGTAACTTGATGGTCTTCCTATTACCTCAGGTCACAGGATGAGAATGAGCAAGTACTGGAGGGGTCAGCTCTGGGACCAGGGGGAGAGCTTAAAGGGTTAGCACATGCTTTCCACTGGGAGGCCCCGTCCCAGGCCTAGCTCCGCCAGAAATGATCCTTCAGCACAGACAGACATGGCCCCCACCTGCCCCATCTCCCAACAAAAAAAGGGATCAGGTCTAAGACATTTTTGACAGGCATCACTGACAACAATACCTGTCTTTCTTCTATTAGTATTGTTGACTAAAACAGGTAACATGAGGTGAAAATGCAGAAAGGATTGGTTGAAACCTGAAATAAAAGTGACGTGTTAAATAATTCCAAGATACAAGTGATATGAGAGGTTACTAGGGCCACCAACTGAGGATCACACAGGCTATGACAAGTCCAGAGTTCAATGACTGACAGGCAGTATAGTGGGGAGGCTGGTGGCCTGGATTCAATCCCCTGCGCCCCAGGACTAAGCCCTGAACACCACCAGGTGTGACTCCAAAACAATGGAGAAAACAGCTTGGGTGAAGTGACCTGCTCAGGAGCTCATCGCCAAATCCTCCAAATCCTTTCCTCTTACTGCAGAGAAGCCCAAGAAGGATGGCTGCAAATTGGTTGTTTGGGGGTGGGGAACTGTGGGAAGAGGAGCCACACCTGGTGGTCCTCAGGGCTTACTTCTGCCTCCTTGGGGCTCATGCCTGGCGAAGCCTGGGGTGCGAAGGATTATGCCTGGGTACCCAGCAAGAGCCCTAACTCTGACACTCTGGCCGGTGAAACAACCTTGACAAGTCGCACTTGGTAACTTGATTTATTTTGGTGGGGAGCCATATTTGGCAGTGCTGAGGGTTTACTCCTGGCCCTGTGCTCAGGAATTTTCACCTAGCAGTGCTTGAGGGACCATAGAGAATGCTGGGGATCGAACCCAGGTCGGCCACAAGCAAGGCAAGCACTCTACAGGCCATAATACTGCTCTAGTCCCATAGTTCCTAATTTTCAAACTTATGCTACAAAAAGCCAGGAGTTAGCTCAGGGGTGGCCACACATGCGTGAGGGCCAGGCTTAGATCCCAGCCCAGCACGGCCCCTGACCCCAGCTGTGCTCACACACCCGGGAAGCCCCATAAATAATAAAATACAAGCTAAAGTCAGACGTATAGATCAATAGAATAGGATCATATTCCAGATTAAATCCAGATGGCCAAGTGATGGGGAAGGGGTGTAACTGCCACATTTGGTAGTACTCAGGGATGACTGGCTCTGTGCTCAGGGCCTACCGACCATGTGTGGTGCTGGGGATTGGAACGGGGTCTGGCCCCAGTACTGAGCCTTCATGCTACCATTCTCGCCCCTGTATTGATTTTTGATCAAGCATGCCATGACCACTCAAAGGGAAAGAGAAAATTTTTGCTTTTTTTGGGTCACACCCAGCGATGCTCAGGGGTACCCTGACTCTGTACTCACGAGTTACTCCTGGTGGTGCTTGGGGGACCATATGGGATGCCGGGGATTAAACCCAGGCCAGCCGCATGCAAGGCAAACGCCCTACCTAGAAAAAATTTTAAAGCAGTGCTGGGATAACTAAAGGTTGCCATTCAGTAGAATAAAGTTGAGAGCCAGAGTGATAGTACAGCAGGTAAGGGGTTTCAGCTAACCTGGGTTCGATCCCCAGTATCACACAAGGCCCCCTGAGCCCCACCAGAAGTAATCTCTGAGCACCTCTGGGTGTGGCTCCCAAAATGGGAAAAGATTTTATCTATCTATCTATGAGCTGAAGCGATACCACAGCGGGTAGGCGTTTGCCTTGCACACTGCCGACCTGGGTTCGATTCCTCTGCTCCTCTCAGAGAGCCCAGCAAGCTACCAAGAGTATCTTGCCCGCACGGCAAAGCCTGGCAAGCTACCCATGACGTATTCGATATGCCAAACACAGTAACAACAAGTCTCACAATTTGTTGTGAGATGTTACTGGTGCCTGCTCAAGCAAATTGATGAACAACAGGAGGACAGTGCTACAGTGCTCATCTGTCTATCTATAGATCTTGAATATTAACATAAACTCAAGATTGTAGACCTAAATTAAAGAGCTAGTACAATTTTTTTTTAAAATCCTGAACCTTGGTTGTACAGAGAGACACTCCAGCATATAGGGCACTTGACCTTGACTAGGCCAGTGGGCTTCAATCCCTGGAACCAAGAAGCCTGGATGGTCTGGTGTAGGATAACATTGGTTTGTGATTTCTCCTCTGCCACAAGGAGCTCAGGTTTATTGAGTAATACCCATCACAGTGCTCCCAAAGTTCTCCCATTTCCTCAGTATTCATCTTTAACTTCTCTGTGCTCTGTTCTCACCAGATATTAATCACTCATTTCCCGTGAGCAGTACCTATGACTTGTAAAGTCACTTGTAAAGCCTAATTCCTCAGAAATCTCTAATTTTGTATTTGTAAGTGAAATATTGCCTTTCTCCTTCCCTTATA